ATGATATATTCTCATTAAAAGTGTGATATTTTTGCACACACAAAAAGACATTTTATTCTCCTGAAGGAAGGAAGAGTACTTTTAAATAATATAAAGTCTAAAATATTGTAAAAAAATACAAAGATGTTGCGAAGTAAACATTGTACTTTTAAATTAACACAAAAATTATCGCAAAAAAGTTGGCGTTAAGAGGTTCAAATCTAAGAATATTTCGGCTTTAAACATTATGAAGCTTTCGTATTTTAGTGCACAACAAACAGTCAAATGAAACATCGTGCTTGTTTTGAAAAAAAACTGAACGATTACAGAGAATCCCAGGAGAACTTTAAATCAATATATATATATATATAACTGAACGATATATCCAACATGGATATATCGTTCAGTGACATGGATATATCGTTCAGTAATATGGATATATCGTTCAGTAATATAACATGGATATATCGTTCAGTAACATGGATATATCGTTCAGTAACATGGATATATCGTTCAGTAACATGGATATATCGTTCAGTAACATGGATATATCGTTCAGTAATATGGATATATCGTTCAGTGACATGGAAATATCGTTCAGTAACATGGATATATCGTTCAGTAACATGGATATATCGTTCAGTAACATGGATATATCGTTCAGTGACATGGAAATATCGTTCAGTAACATGGATATATCGTTCAGTAACATGGATATATCGTTCAGTGACATGGATATATCGTTCAGTAACATGGATATATCGTTCAGTGACATGGATATATCGTTCAGTAACATGGATATATCGTTCAGTGACAAGGATATATCGTTCAGTAACATGGATATATCGTTCAGTGACATGGATATGTCGTTCAGTAACATGGATGTATCGTTCAGTAACATGGATATATCGTTCAGTAACATGGATGTATCGTTCAGTAACATGGATATATCGTTCAGTGACATGGATATGTCGTTCAGTAACATGGATATATCGTTCAGTAACAAGGATATATCGTTCAGTAACATGGATATATCGTTCAGTAACATGGATGTATCGTTCAGTAACATGGATATATCGTTCAGTGACATGGATATATCGTTCATTAGCTTTTGGTATTTTTGTAGAATTTTAACCAATTGAAATGAATATGTTGTTGAGTGTTCCCGTTGTTTTAGAATGTTGAGGGTACATTGTTGAGTGTTTCCATTGTTTTAGAATGTTGAGGGTACATTGTTGAGTGTTTCCATTGTTTTAGAATGTTTATGGTACATTGTTGAGTGTTTCCATTGTTTTAGAATGTTTATGGTACATTGTTGAGTGTTTCCATTGTTTTAGAATGTTGAGGGTACACTGTTGAGTGTTTCCATTGTTTTAGAAGGTTGAGGGTACATTGTTGAGTGTTTCCATTGTTTTAGAATGTTGAGGGTACATTGTTTGAGTGGCAGTTGAAGATTTTGTAGTATCTTAGAATAATGAGATGCACAAATTAAAAGGTTAATTTACTAAAGATATTGTTTGAACTTTACTGTTTTATATTTTTTAAAGATTGCCCAAATATTACTTTTTGTAGATGTTTTATGTGTAAGTATTGCTTTGAATAAATGTAGAATGTCTACACGTAACTTTAATAATTGGTAAGATGTAAAATTCTCTTCAGTTAACCAACTTTCCTTCATTCTTGTTCATTATAACCTCTGACCCAGATTTTAAAATTATAGATTCATTACAACTGTATAACTCACTCATTTCCATGCTCTTGTACACGTGTTTTAAATACCCTAGTGGTAAAACTCGTCATTGAACACAAATCCGGATTCTTGCAGTCAACTTGGAAAACTGTCCGGATTCTTTAGATCTTTTCCCTTCAATCAACCTCAAATGGTAAAAACAAACAAAGAGAAAATCGTCTACGTCATTATGAAATCGTTCAGTGAATTTCTCTGTAATTATACCCTAAAAGCCACATTTGGTTATCTGTTGTTTCCGCCGAGGAGAATCGAATCCTGGATTTTATCGTTGTAAATTCGTAAACTTATCACTCTTTTACCGGAGGACGTTTCCAGAAGTTGAAGAATAAAGTGTAACAACCTCATTTGAAGAGCAGTGATTGGCTGTTGACGTAATGTGATACTTACTCTTACGTTCGTGTAATAAGGACGTTTCTGTAAGAAACTTCCAGTCGCATCAGTGATAGATCCATTCTGTTCATTAGACCTCGAGTTAAGCCTATCAGTTCACAAACGTTCCTTTAGTTTAAACTCATGTTTGTTATTAGCTCTGGCTATTCACTGAACATCGAATGTAGTACACTGTATTTGACTATAGGTGCCCGTCCTAAGTGTGAATTAGGTTTATACAAAAACTTTACATCGACTCTAAGTCGTGGTTATTTCAGATTTCAAGGAAACATTCTCCACACACACACACTCAATCTTCCGATCTTCATTGATGGCTGACGGAAGGAAATCAAACTTGTGTTTGTGATTTCCCGGATAACTTCCGCTAAATCGCAAGATAATGACAGATATTACCAATTCAAAATTAATTAATCTAACTTGGTGTATAGAAAGTAGATGAATTAATTTAATAAAGACCAGCTATTATAAACACAGACTGTAATATTACATAGAACAGAGAATACACATCTTCATTAACAGTGCTCATAAGCTGGATGAGTTTTAAGGTTACGTTATCTATATTTTAATTAACAGCGTGGTTTATATTGTTACTTTAGATCAGTACTATTCTAAGTTTACTGATCCTGAGATCTTCATAAAGGTTTTATTTCTCTATACTCTTTTTTTTTTAACGAAATGAAAAGTATCTTTGATATCCGGATTTACAATGCTTCACGCCCCAAACGAATCCGTGAGGTTATGGCTGTTTGGGGTTGTTTTTTTGAACGACCATGCCGTGTAATGAAGAGGTTGTCAGGGAACAAAGTTGTTTATTTCATGTTTTGATCATGTTATTCTTGTTGACTGCGATGAGGTTGTCAGGAAACAAAGTTGTTTATTTCATGTTTTGATCATGTTATTTTACTGACTGTGATGAGGTTGTCAGGAAACAAAGTTGTTTA